AATATAAACAATCAAAATTGTCAAATAACAATTTAAATTTTAATTAGAATAACTGAAATATTAAAACACATGACTTAATATAAAATTGTTTCAAATAATTTCAAATAAAACATTTTAAATCATATTTTGATGTTTTAATCATGAATGTCATGACATAGTGCTCAATTTTTTCTTATAATATTCCTTGTGTATATTATAATTAATAATTTTTTATGATATTAATCTACTGAAAAAAGAATTGACCGGTATCCAAATTTTTAAATGAATGTATTGGCACAACTACAAAAGTAAGATTTTTTTCTATACAAATATTAAAAATACTTGTAATGCAAAGTCAATAAAAAAATTAAAAAAAAAAAATAAATAATCAATTGAACTAACCTTTTATTGAAACCAAACATTTATCTATTTAACTGGTTTTTTTCCAACGTCATAATATATTAATCTTTTTTATTCTTATTGTATTATTTTATTATAAATATATTATTCAATTAACTTATGGTTCTCATTCTTTTTTTATTATTTACCAAATATTTGTATGTTATTTTTTTAATTAATTTTTTAAATATTAAGGTATTAAAATGTTTGTATGCTATTTTTTTCATTCATTTTTCTTAGTATTAAAAATAGTTATTCAACATAATAAAATATCAATGTTTTATGGAAAAAAAATATTAGTTAAGTGCAAATATATAGTTTTAATAGAAATACTTTTTTTAAATTATACATTAAAATATATGCATGATACAATTTAACTTTATCTGTTAAGTATAAATGTTCTTTCATGGTAATATGTGTTACATAAATTAATCTACTATTTACTTTAATTGTAATAGAAATCAAAATATAGTAATAATAAAAATAAAATAAAATAAGTAATACTCGATTTTAAAATCTTGAATTTCAAAATATGTGTACTTGTTAGAAAATATATAGTTATAATAATTATAATTAATTAAATAAAAATAAATATTACATTTACTTTAAATTTATTTCAATAGACTTTCTTATTATAAATCATAGATAAATTTAATTTTTCAAATCACTTCTTAAAACTAGGAAACATAAACCTTGTAAAAATATTGACAAATATATAAAATAATGTTAAGATAAAAGTAAAATATGAAAGAATCATGATTTTACAATTTATTTAAAATAGAATTATTTTTTTTTTCACTTTTTAGATAGTCTTGAAAATCCATGAACGAAAATGATAATGCATGTATGACAGTGTTAGGAGATGTAACAATAATTTATTTTGGACAATATATATAGATAAGCACCTTCAATTAACCAATGTTACAACATTATATATAGAAGGATGTTATTGTTCCTAATTTCAAATAATTGTTTTTAAATATTTACAACTTTAAAGATATTTTCAAATATTTATATCTCTTATATCATTATTATATACAGAGAGAAAATATATATCTAAATATTACGAAATATTACACGTGCAAATATAATTGAATTTGCAACCGTTATAATCAAAATAATAGAGAACGAAACATTCAACCACAGTGTCAGCTTCCAATCAACAATAAGCAAATGATAATTACAAATTATAGTTATAGTAAATTCAAGTTATTATTCAAATAGTAAGACGCAAAAGGAAGACATTAAAAAAGATATTATTTTCACCATATTAATAGCATAAGGATGATATCACTAAATAACAAAATCAAGGACGACATAGATTTCTTCAGCATTTTAAATTTCAAAAAAAAAAAATATTAATTTTATTTTAGATTTTCTAACCAATATTTTTTATTTAATTTTATTTGTCATAGAGTTCTGTTAATAGTATTAAATTTATATTTTATCATAAAATACACAATTTTTTGTTAAATAATGAAAAGAAAATTATATTGTGCTATTAAATTAAATATATAATAAAAATAATTTTGAGTAAAAAAATTAATATTACGTGCGTAGCACGTGCATCTTCCTAGTGGACTTCAAATCCTTGAGATTTGATTTTTTAAACAACTTGGTCAAAACCTCTCTTCACACTTCTTTGGCAATGACCAATGTTTAAGAGATTTTTTACATTCTGTTCACCCTATTATAGCCTAGCATATTAAAATAGAACAATTGGATAAAAACATCAAAATCACTAGAAATCGACATAAAGACCTTGTAATGTTTCAGAAGGATCCTTTGTATGTCCAGCGATTGAAAGAAGCTTCCCATCCCACGGTATCTGCAAAGATAACACATAAGCATAACATACAAGGATAAAATAAATACTTTTCATCTAGTAGTCCCTTTAGAAGAATTATTTAAGAAAGGGCCATAAATGTCAAGGAGTTTCATCACATAGGTAAACCATTACTCCAAATACTAACCAACGAATGGCCGGCACAAGGAGTTGTCCCTGCCTGAATTTCAACTTTGGACCAAGTCCAACTTCTCATATTCAGAACCTAATGGAGGAAAAAAGAGGATTTAAGAATGTTGAACCTTCATCATCCTCTACGAGAGGAAAGCTGAAACTATATAATGTGAATACGATCAGCATTGACATAAAGCCAACATGATTCAAATCAAAAAGCTGTTACAAATCCCGGGTACAACGTCTACATCTTTCTAAAGTAACTCTCCGATTTGATTTGCATGCCCTAAACTTTACTAGTTCTGCATGTACTGTATTCAGGGCCCAAAATATAGATACACGACTGTTTCCAATTGCAAGCCATGATGCTAATGTCATATGTAACACATATAAGCAAAAAACTTTAATGTGGTACCTGGAGATCACTTAGGTAACGACCATTGTGGTTTCCACCAAATACGTACATCTTATCCTCAATAATAGCTGCTCCATGCTGTTGCGCATTTATTTATTTTCATAAAAAACACCATGTTTTAAAGTTGAAAAAGGAGAAGTACATATACAAGCGGTAAAAGAATTACAATAATGAGAGTACCTCGTATCTGGCTTTTGGACGCGGGCCAGATATTGGAGGTCCAATCCACTGGTCATATACACTAACTACTCCAAGACCCTCCGATACAACATCTTTATCCTGTGTTTCAGACAAGTTTCCATTTTCAATCGGTACAGTCTTCACCTCTAGGATATTGTTTCCATTTTCGGATACTGCCACTACTTCTGGGTTATGCTGAACCAGCAGTTTTTTTTTTAAAAAAAAAAAAAAAGGTCAGAAGTTATATATGAAAACCTAAGGAAGTAATCCAAGATATAAAATCTGCGTTCTTTATATACTAAGCATTGGATTGTGTCTATTTTATCTTAGAATGCATTTTGTAGAAAGCGTATTGGCGAAGGGTGGTGGTTTGAGGGGAGAGGTTTGGTAAAGATTTGTTGCTAGATCACTCGTGGTGATAATGCTGGTGATAGATCTAGGTATAGGGAAAGGAATAGAGAAAGCAAGAGCGCTCTGGCAGCATTAAATGGAAGAGTAACTGAGTTGGAATGGAGCTGTGAATGATTAAGGTTGATGATTGAAGGAGAGGGGATGGAGAAAAAGGGCGACTTTGATGTTTTGTTTGGGTGTATCGACTTATCATATAGTTCATTTACAGTATAAATAAAGTTCAACATGCAGAGAAGTAGGCATACTCTCGAAACTAACAAGCGTGAAATTCAGAACAGATTTCCAAGAGAAAAAGTAAACCAAGCTGAGGATTAGATTTCTAGAGATCCCCTCATTTTATATTCTTCCCAGAAGCCAATTCACTTATAACATCTCCCGAATCCCCACCCTCCACCCACCCACGCTTTCACCAGGTAAGGACTGTAACTGAACAACTCGATGAAAGCATCAAACTCTGAAACACACACCTTTCACCTGACAAGGACGTAACTGAACACCTAAATGAAAGTAACAGACTCCTAAGCACCGACTTTATGCTGCCCATAGTTTTAAATGGCGAATGGCGAGGCGAGGCGATTCGCCATGGCGAGGCCTCGGCAACACAAGCCATCAAAGCTTAAAAATATATTTATATAGGTAGTAATATCATATATTTAAGTTTAAGTGTAAAAAATAACCTTAAATATCCTCAAAGAAAATAATATAAATTAAATTTGGTTGTAATTACTAAAAGTATCTCAAACTTAAATGTGAATACTAGTAACAATACAAGAAAAAAAAAAATAAAAAAAAAATTGAATTTACACTGTGTAGTAACATAAAATAGAAAAATGTTAAAGAGGGTAAATAAAAAGTGTAAAGTAAAAGTAAATGAAATAAAGACGTTGCACCCTTTTTTTTATCCAACGATAGACATTCTCATTAAAACAAGGAAAAAAGATTACAACGAGCAACAACCCGAGATGGCACAAGTACCTGAGAGCAACACTAAAAGTAGTGTGCTAAAGAACAACCCACCTAGATACAAGAAGCAAGCATAAAGCTAGAACACTTCTTGCACAGAACCAACCAAGCAGCCTAAACCAGAAGCAAACTAAAACAGACAATAGACAGTCCCAAAACAAAATAAAAACAGAACCTAGAGAAACAGAACAAACTAGGCCTAANNNNAAAAAAAAAAAAAAAAACAAACTGAGCACAAGAGACAGCAACAAAGCAAACTAAGATTATCATGTGTTAACATTGCAGAATTCAAGCCATTCTTGCATAGCTCCCTTTTACCATCTGCACTGGCATTTTCTCCTTGTTGAACATCCACAAATTCCTTGATCTCCATAGCCACCAGAGGATGTAAGTTGATAGTTGGATTCTAGCCTCTGAGATGATGCCTTGCTAATGGAGCAGACTTGCCACCACCAAGTCTTGAAGGAGGTCTGAGTTGTTGAGACACCATCCCAGGAAAGAGAAAGAGGGGATAACTTCCAAGCTTCAGAGGCTCTCTTGCAGTTGAAAAGCAAGTGGACGATTGTTTCTTCTTCATCCTCACATAGATGACAGATAGGGTCAATTTTCAGGCCTCTTTTCCATAAATTCACCCCAGTTGGAAGTGTGTTTGTATAGGACTTCCAGATGAAATGCTTGATTTTCATTTTAACTTTGAGCTTCCAACTTCTGAGCCTGATCTTTGTATCTGTAAGTCTGTTCTTACTGCTTTCAGCAATGTCTAAGCAGCATAACTTGTTGTTTATGAGATAAGCATATGAGGCAGCCACAGAAAAAATTCCTTTACTGTCAGGTTTCCATCTCCATCTATCTGCTAGATCAGGTGACAAAGTATTAATCTCTAAAATGGCTTGGGCATCTTCCTGAGAAAACATCTGGGAAATTAGTTCCTCATTCCAATGTCTACCATTCTCAGTCATAAGATCTCTGACAAAGAGGATTTCAGAGTTATTCAGTCTAGGTGGAGCAGAGAGGCCAAGTTTAGGGACCCAGCCTGGGTCTGAAATCAAGATTTGGAGGCCTCCCCTAACTTCTTTCCAAATCCCCTGCTTGAATATTGGTAGGATATCAATCCCATTGTTCCACATCCAGGAGCTAGAAGACTTCCTTTGTGCTTCAAAATGGAGTTGTGAAAATATCTGCTTTCGGAGGACTTGACTGACCAAGAGGTGGGGCTGGGTGGTGATTCTCCGCAGTTGTTTGAGAATGAGGGCTTCAATGAAGGTTTTGAAGTCCTGAAACCCCAATCCTCCATTTATCTTAGGTAAAGCAAGGAGCTCCATCTTTTCCAGTGTATTCCTCTGCCTTGTTCTTTGCCTTTGCTCCACCAGAAGTGTCTTGTTCTTTGCTTTTGCTCCACCAGAAGTGGGCAGTAATTTGAGTTAGCTCTTTGCAGATTCCCAGGGGTAACTTAAAACAAGACATTGCATAAACAGGCAAAGAATTAATGACAGCTTTGATAACGACCTCCTTGCCAGGTACTTGTTTTTCCAATTCACCATTCTATTTCTTGCAGCTTGCAGGACAAAGTCAAAAGCTTCTTTTTTAGATTTCCCTATTCCAAGGGGGAGACCGAGGTACCTGGTTGATGAGTGAGCTGTTATGCCATCCAATAAGTGACAAATGCTGGTCTTAGTGGCAGGGAGGGTGTTTTTGCTGAAGAAGACAGTAGACTTGGACATGTTGACTTGTTGTCCAGTGAAGAGGTGGTATTTATTCAGAATTCTCATGAGGATAGTGGCTTGGCTCTGATCAGCTTTGTAGAAGACTAATGAGTCATCTGAAAAAAGGAGGTGGGAGAGAGTGGGCCCTCCTCTAGCAAGCCTGAGACCTTTGAAGGAACCATTAGAGATGGCACTGTTGATGAGATGGGATAAAGCTTCAGATACTATAAGGAAGAGGTAAGGGGAGAGAGGATCCCCTTGCCTCAATCCTCTAGATGGCTGAAGATAGCCCACCGCTTCACCATTAACCAAGAAGGAGAAGGAGGTAGTAGTAAGGCATGAGAAAATCAACTTGATGTAAGTATCTCCAAAGCCCATTTTCAGCATAATAGATTTGATGCAGCTCCATTCTACCTTGTCAAAGACCTTCATCATGTCGAGCTTGAGGGTCATGAAGCAGTGAGGGCCATTTCTGTGCATGTTCATATAATGGAAAGCCTCTTGAGCAATGATGATGTTATCCAGGATGTTCCTGTCTGATAAGAAGGCTCCTTGAGTTTGGCTGATGCAGTGTTGCAGGCATGGCTTAAGTCTTGAAGCAAGGATTTTAGAGATTATCTTGTAGACCATTGTATATAGGCTGATAGGCATGAATTGAGAGATAGAGATGAATTGGGAGATAGAGGAGGAGGAGGAGGAGGAGGAGAAATGGCATTTTGTTTCAGATTCCATTTTGTTCAGACAGGAGCCTAGAAATGGCATTTTGTTTCCTTCTCTGCATGGTGAATGCATGGAAAAAGTGAGAGTTCCTGTCTCCTTCTTTTAACCATTGGATTCTGGATTTCTGTTGCCAAAAAGCCTCCTCAGAGATTTGCTCCTTTTCCAGCTCTTGTTTGATAGATTCCCATTCTTCCCAGTTTTTACCTTCACCCAATTGTCTATCTCTTCAAGCTTAAGAGAGAGTGCTGCAACTTTTTCTTGTGATCGGCTCTGAATAGTTTACTCCACTTGGACAAAGCTAGCCTAGCTTGCTTGATATGCTCTTTCAATTTGTAAAATGGAGTACCTTGTTGAGGAATAGCCCAGGCTTTCTCAATTTCTTCTTTGCATCCTTCTCTTTCGATCCATCTTTTCTCGAAATTGAATCTCTTTTTCTGCTTCCTAGAGCTCCCTTGATCATCAAGGAGAAGGACTCCATGGTCAGAAGCACTCTTGAAAATATTTGCAATGCTGGCTTGAGGGTGCTTGGTAGTCCAGAATAGAGATCCAAATCCTCTGTCAAGTTTTCCTTCAACAAATCCTTCTTGCATTCTGTTGTTACCCCAAGTGTACTGGTAGCTAGTCATGTTAATTTCCACCATCGATAAAGTTGTTGAAAGCATTGAAGCTGGAGTTTGATCTTCTTCTTCCACCTCTCTTTTCATCATGATTGCATATGTCATTCCAGTCTCCAATGAAAATGATTGCCAAGTAATCACCCCAATCCTCTTTGCTTTGCTCAAGGAACTCCCATTGCTGAATTCTGGTTTCTCTGTCATTGCTCATATATACAAAGGTGAGCCAGAGAGGAATCTCTTCATTAGGAAGAGAAAGCTGAACTTGGATGAAGAAGTCTGAGCTGTTGGTGTGCAGGATTGTGGGAAGAGAGTCCCACATCAGCAGCAAACCTCCTCTAGCAGCAAACCTCCTCTAGTACCAGTTGGTTCCACCAAGCAGAATCTGTTATCAAAACCTAGTTTACTTGTTATCAAAACCTAGTTTACTGCAAACATCTAAAGAAAATTTTTTTTGCTTTTTGATTTCTGACAAGAAAATAAAGTTTGGGTGGTGAGATAGCTTGATCTCTCTTATCTGGGAGACTGTAGAGGGTCCACCGAGACCTTTACAGTTCCACACCATGGCTCTCATTGAGGGGGTGGGAGCCATTTGGGGTTGGCTTCCTCCACCTTGCTATCAGCTGCCTTCATTTTCTTTTAGAAGTGAGTATCTGAGAGATGTTCTTCAGTATCATTGAGGGTTAAATCACCAATTGCTCTTTCTGTCTAGACTGTTTAGAGATGGCTACAGTCTCCCCTCGATGCCTGGCTAGCCTGCCAATTTTGCTAGGAGCTCTTTTCCAGCATTTTAGAGTCTGCTTTTCTTTTATGATATCATCATTGTTGGTTGGCACCGGGAGGGAGATAACCTCCATGTTTTGATTGGATTCTACAGGCTCTGAGGGGTTAACATTTTGGGCTTGGGGGGTAGGTTGGTTGTAAGTGACAATCTCCTTACCTTTGTTGAGGGGTTGAGACAAAGGTATGGAAGTAGAGGATTCTTCAATGCCTTTGTTGAGGGGTTAAGACAAAGGTATGGAAATAGAGGATTCTTCAATGCCTGTGTTATTTTTCTCCATATCATCAGAGTTTTTGCTGGTCATAGTGAATCCTCTAGTCTTGCTTGCAGATTGCTTGGATGCATCTGACTCTTTGCCACTTGCTTGGTTAGTGTTCTGAGTTTGGACTCCTTCTGTGGTTGGTTCAGAGTGGTAGCTTTGTGAGGGTGTTTGAGAAATGATAGCTCCATCAACTGCTTTCATCCATTCTCCAAATTGCCCTTCATGAACGGAGTGGTTGCTGATATCCTCTTGCTTTTGAGGGCATGATTTATCAGAGTGACCTACCTTTCCACAGTAAAAGCAAAGGCTGACCAACTTTTCATATTGAAATTGGATCGTTGCTACTTTCTGTCCCAGCCTGATTTTTGTCCATCGAGGTAGAGGCTCTTTAAGGTCGATGTCTACTTGCAGCCTCATCACTCTTCCACCTTGTCCTCCAGCTTTCGCCATACTTTCGCCATATTGACATTTTTTAGGTTGGAAAAGACTCTGCCCAGTTTGATTCCCACTTCCGTGCTCATCCAGTTAATTGGAATACCATGAGCTTTGACCCAAAGGGTTAGGTGATCGAGCATGGGTGATTTGCAGAGATACCTTCTTGCCATTCTTTGAGAACTAAGTGCTGATTTTCAAATATCCAATATTTGCCTTCTAGGATTTTATTAAGCTCAGCCCTATTTGGGAAAAGGAATTGAAAGTAATTGGTACCTAGTTCCCTCACTTCCAGTGAGTTGCCCAATCTCCAGAGAAAACCCATGGTGCGTTTCACTCCGACCCAGTTGGCCTTTCTTTCTCCGACGATTTTTCCAAATAGACTCCGGTGGCATTCATCTTCACTGATAGTGACGTCAGTATTTTCAATATCTACGTACGTATCTTCGATTTCCGATAGGGGAATTTTCCCAGTTTTTGCCCTAAGTCGTCCTCCATTGCCGTAGAAAACGCAGTAGCAAGCCCTAGATTGTGGAGAGCTAGAATCTAGGGATAATAACCAGTAACAAAACCGGATAAAATCTCGCTAAGGAGAAGAAACTCTCGAACAAGGAGAGAAGAAACTCTCGAACAAGAAGAGAAGATCTCGTTGCACCCTTTCACCTTTAACTATTGACCATACTAGAAAACATAAATAAAAGTAAGAAAATGAAGAAAGAAGAAAAAGAAAGAAGGTAGAACAGGGAGACAGAGATAAGGGAGAAGGAAAAGAAAGGAAAAAACATGCATCACCGACCATCTTGGCGGCGAGATGGTGGCCGGAGTTCAGAGGAGGACAGAAATGGATGGGTCAGTCGTGGGTTTCTACAATTTTCAAACATGAGAAGCCTAAGGAGTGCTTTCACATAACCCCTAGTTTGGGGAGAAGCCATTTAGGGATTGTTCACCTTCAGCTTTTGTATTCTCGGTCTAAAACTGTAGTTTTCAGTTCGTGGGTATGAAGTGAAGAAAGAGTCTTTTAATTTTATTCTCTTTTTTTAAAAAAATGTACTGGACCTTTAATTTCTAATTTCTCTGAAAGTGGCGCGCCTCACAGGCGCCTCTCGCCACGTGAAAAGGCGAGTCGAGGCTACCTGAAGCAAGCGCCTCGCGAACAGGGTCGCCTCAGGCAGTGGCGAGGCGATGTAGCCCTCGCCTCGGTCGCCTCGCCTCGAGGCGTCGCCATTTTAAACTATGATGCTACCATTACTTCTAGAATCTGCATATCTATTCAATTTCAAGATACACTAAAACTCTGTTTTTCTATTCAATTGTTGGTTTGGACATTTAAGTTCACGTCTTCATAGACAGTTCATTTCTATGGATAACTAACTATACAAGGATATCTACATCGACGACCTAAATGGGCACACCACTGTCTCTCCTCCATATTAAACATATGGATTTCTTTTGTTTGTCAACAGATTTTTCATTCATACTTCTACAAGAGTTAATGAACACAGGCCAATTACAAATATCAGTTCCTAAATGCAGTGAATCCTCACAGTAATGAAGTAGGGTCAAATATATACCTCTCATATACTGCATTCTAATGACTTAAAACGTTGTTTCCAGCAATTAACTTTTGTGTCTAGTGACAATTAATACACCAACAGCCTCTCTACTAGTCAATTCTCACATTCTTCGACAGACTGCGAATCTTTCATGATTCTTAAAATATGCACATAAGTAATTTAAAGATACTTATAGAGCATCATTGATAGAGTGAAGGGCAATATTAACAATAGATAATGAACGTACTACCCCGAAGGGTCCTTAGGCAAGATAGCCTGCCACAAACGTCAATATTCCAGAATACCCATCTAACTCTTACCCATCAATATATATACTAAACCCTAATATTTAATAATTAAACCCTAAAGCCCATTTAAGAGCCCACTAACTTAACTAATTACATTAACTAAATAATAAGGATAATTGGGCCTACGCCCTAAGGTCCAGTAGGAGCAGCCGCAGCCCCTTTCAGCCTTCTAGAATAAACTTTCATAAATTGGTCTTTATCAACTCCTGCCCGGACGGAAACAGCCTTGTCCTCAAGGCTTCAATTAGGGAATTGGCCACGTACTTCCTCAGTGTCCAGCCAAACTACCTCATATCCCCGTGATCCACCCATTTTATTAGAACCTGTGGAACCATTTCCCCATTGCGCTCTATCTCTCGTCGCGCCAGCACTTTCTCCGGAATAAATAATGGGTCATCTCCCAATAATTCATCAGGGAATGTAGGCTCAACGGAATTCACTCCCATTGAAGCTTTTAACAGCGAAACATGAAAGACTGGATGCACCCTTGCGGTACCAGGCAATTCCAATCGATAAGCAACTGCTCCAATACGAGCCTCTACCTCAAATGGCCCAAAAAATCGAGGTGCTAACTTAGTGTTCATGTTGCGGAAAAGTGTTCGCTGTCGAAAAGGACGAAATTTGACAAACACTTTATCACCTACTGCAAACTCCACATCTCTACGATGTTTATTCGCTTCCCGAATCATGCGTTGTTGAGCACGTTCCAGGTGGAAACGCAAATGGCGCAAGACCTCATCCCTGTCCCGAAGATCCTCTACTAATGATTGTGTCCTCACTTCTCCAGGTATAAAACGATGTAGCCTAGGAGGTGCACGACCATAAACTACCTCAAATGGAGTACCGCCCACACTTGATTGAAAACTGGTATTGTAGCAGTACTCTGCCCAAGCCAACCACTTACTCCACTCTCGTGGCCTTTCGGAACTAAAACAACGCAAATATGTCTCAAGGCAACGATTTAGTACCTCTGTTTGTCCGTCCGTCTCAGGATGATATGCCGAACTCATTCTCAACTTAGTGCCTGCCAACTTAAATAACTCCTGCTAGAACGAACTTAGGAACACTGGATCTCTATCTGATACAATTGATGTTGGGATACCGTGCAATCGCACCACCTCTCGACAGAACAAATTTGCCACCGATCGGGCGGTGTAAGGGTGTCTCAATCCCAGAAAATGACCATATTTTGAATATCTATCAACCACCACCAGGATACAGTCAAGATTGCCCGAACGGGGAAGGCCCGAAATAAAGTCCAAGCTAATTTCCTCCCAAACTCGATCTGGAATTGGTAAGGGTTGTAGCAAGCCTGCAGGTGCCTTGGTGTCGTACTTGTTTCTTTGACAGATGTCACAACGCCTTACAAAATCCGTCACTTGGTGCATTAGTCCTGGCCAATACACGTTTGCTGCTAAGCGCCGATAAGTGCGAAATGCCCCAGAGTGACCCCCTGTTGGTGTGGAATGGAATTCTGAAATTAATTTGGTGGTCCACTCGGATCTATTAGGAACTACCAAGCGGCCTTTATAGAAAAGATTCCCATGAACAAGGGAGTAATGCGGCGGTGCGGACGTGCTAGATTCCAAAGCCGACACAATTTTGGATAACTTTGGATCAGACTCAATAGCCGATTTTAGTTGACTCCAGTCCATCCATGTGGGCATACTAATGGCTGTTAATTCCACCTCCTCATCCCTACGTGATAGGGCGTCGACAGCTTGATTCAAAGTTCCGGAACGATAAACTATTTCAAAGTCAAAGCCTAGCAATTTGGCGACCCAATTTTGTTGGGCAGGAGTAGTCAACTGTTGTTGTAATAGATGTTTCAGGCTGCGCTGATCTGTACGAATTAGAAAACGTCGCCCCATGAGATAGGGACGCCAGTGTTGTACAGCCATCACCAGTGCCATCAACTCCTTCTCGTAAGCGGATTTAGCTAAGGCGCGGTCTGAAATACCCTTGCTAAAATAAGCCACCGGACGACCTTGTTGCATCAAAACCGCACCAAGCCCTCGGACCAATTTGATAGAGTGAAGGGCAATATTAACAATAGATAATGAACGTACTACCCCGAAGGGTCCTTAGGCAAGATAGCCTGCCACAAACGTCAATATTCCAGAATACCCATCTAACTCTTACCCATCAATATATATACTAAACCCTAATATTTAATAATTAAACCCTAAAGCCCATTTAAGAGCCCACTAACTTAACTAATTACATTAACTAAATAATAAGGATAATTGGAAATACGCCCTAAGGTCCAGTAGGAGCAGCCGCAGCCCGTTTCAGCCTTCTAGAATAAACTTTCATAAATTGGTCTTTATCAATCATTTATCATATAAACCTAACACTCTGGCCAACTGTTCCAGATGTAAAGAACAAAGCCTAGTTTTGTGTTGTGCTAGAGACATAGTTTAAGCATTGGATCATTGGGAGGGAAGTTTAGCACCAACATCCAGGAGGCAGGTAGTTTCTATCTAACTAGTTCATGAATTTAACAAATCTTTAAGTACAA